GCCGCCAAATACTCTTGCAACTTTATCGGGAAAGGATGCTTGCACGACTCGATGCAGTCCCGACAATCACATGCCTCCATTGTCGACTTGCTCAAGGGATCATAGAACGATTCATTGCATGATGTTATGGTCGCATTTGCTATTGGACAGTGATAATTCCGGGCATAATTGCGCTAAGATTTCATGAGATTCTCGGTCGGCGACTGGCTTTGCTGGTCCGTTGTATAAACAGTTAATAGGTTTGTTTGCGAAAGGGTTTATTCCACACTGTCCATACCACATACAATATCCTTCTTTTTTGACAAAATGATCAGCCTGTTTAATTAAAAGGAAAAATTTAAAAACCCAGAAAACGCTAGTTTTTAAACTCCATCGTGCTGACAAGTCGGAGTAATAAACTTATCTTATCGTCGGAACAAAGAGGAGAATTTAAAATGCATGCGAAAGGTAACTGCTAAACTCCCCTTGAAACTGTAAAATTTGATATCGCTCTGATGCGAATCCGGTATCGAGTAACTGGGGTCTTATTACAATACACTCGAAAACGAGGCTCTATGGTAAAGTGACGTACTTTTCGGGTGTACTGACTGGAAGTTTATGTTAGTTTGGTGCTTAGATGGTCTAGATGGGGGAGGGGGTCTGAAAATCAGTAAACGGTAAAATTTTGCGTATTTTAACGGTAACAATAAGTAACATTTTGTTATTTTAACGGTAAATCTTTAACTGAAAGTGTTCTGAAACGATAAACAGTATTTTTTCCTCACGATTCACGCTAAATTTTTAGTGTTTTCACGACTAACGGTAACCGAAATTGAGTGAATCACGACTCACGGTATATCCCATCAACACCCTCTTGCTAATTAATGCGTTGATTTTGGTAATATCAACCCCCCCCCCCTTTAGGTCCTCTCCTCTCTCCAAACTTTGTCTGAAATATATAGATTTCGGAAAACAATTACAAATTCTTCTTTCATGACCAAGGTCGAGATATATCACTTTATCTAAATCCATTTGTCTAAAGAACATGTTAAAAACTACAATTAAGCCCGGCAAGTGCATTTCCGACGTTAATTAATTTTGTTTAATTTAATAACTGTGATTTAATCATGTATAATATTGCATGATGATTATATATATATATATATATATATATATATATATATATATATATATATATATATATATATATATATATATATATATATATATATATATATTTT